CAACCTCCCGACAACGGGCAGTCGCGTCCACTGACGTATCGCGTTTTTCACAACCCTACAAAATTTTGCCAACAACAAATAAATAAATAAACAAGAAATAACAAGGAGGAGTGCCAAATTGAAACAATGAAGTTGTATTAACAGTGTGGCAGTCAAAAGGTACCTTACCTTGGAAGCAGAAAGCGATTTCTCAAGAGCAACAATGCGTTCTGCTTGGCGTTGTGAAAGCAGTCGCAAATCGGTCGCCTCCCTTTGTAGTTCCTCATCATGGTGAGCTTCGAGGCTGACTTCGGAGTTCTTACGAAGGTCTTCAACTTGCGTTTTCAGTTCAGCTATCTAGAAGGAAGGCGAGAGATGCAGTGAAATGGAGTGAAGGGGGAAAGAAATGTCATTTACCTTCAGACGAGCCTCATTAAGGGCTTCTTCCTCCACACGGTCAGCTTTGCGTGCCATTTCCAAGGTGACAATCTGTTCAGCCTGCTGTTGGGAAATGCGGCGCAATTCATTGAGTTCTTCCACAAGTTCTTCTTTGTTGGGTACCTAAAAGATTTTAAAAATAGAGTACCGTCAGTAAATGAGATTGCAAGGAGCCAAGAAAGTACCTTCGGGTGACAATCTCTTCACTTACGGCGTTCTGACAGAGGCTCTCAATTTGTGCTTTTAATTCACTTATCTAAGAATGAGGAAAGAGGCAATGAAAAGCCCAGACAACAAAGAAGGCGACATGAAATTGATTGAAACAGAAAGATGTAATGAAAGAATGAATCACAAAGGTGAATGTGTGAGTCAAAGGATGCAAAATAAATGAGTGAGTGAATGAGAGGAAAGAACGAAGAATGGATCTTTGTTAGGTGGTTCTGTGTGGAGATTGCCATTTGCTTCAAACTGATAAGAGGGAGACCTCGATAATGAATCACCTGCTTGGAATGCGCTTCACTGAGAGCCTTCTCCTTCTCGATAGCACCGCGACTCTCAATCCCCTCCACCACTGTGGCGATGTATCCAGCCCGTGCCTTTGAAATATCTCCCACTGCGGGGCCCTGCGAGAGGTCCAGAACAATCTTATGAGTGAATAAGAAAGTCAAACAAACACATTGGGACGAAGGACTGCGATTTGGACTCTCGGTTCAACTGCCTTGGATTGACATAAACTTGTTAAAAGGCTTTCAAGGTGGTAAAGGACCAGAGTTGCTTACATCTGACTCCTCCTCAAAAGTCATCGTAGAGGCTGTTCTGGTGTTTTCAGGGCATTTGGATGGTTGGTTCTTCAAAGATGCGCCTTCTGAGCTGCACTGGGGGTGAGCATCTCCACTCTGGCAACGCAGTTCCCTTAAC